TGTAATAGTATAGTACTTGATTCTAATTATTTTAAACAAATAATTAAGAAATCAGACTCACATTTATAAGAATTTTTAATAGTTTAGTAAAGGTATTGATCTCTAATAATAAATCAGTATATAATAAGAATGACGTAAAATTAAGAGTTATAAGTTTATGTTATATTATAGCTAATATGTAAAATAAGTTTGCTAATGACTTTAAATTAGAAATTGGATTATATTTGTTATCATCAGAAGTAATATATATTGTAATTGATACAATGAATAGGATAAGAGTTTCTGCTTGTTATATAATGATCAATAATTTTAAAAATAAACTTCCAAGTAAACATTCATTAAATATTAAAAGGTTTTTTTCTGAACATATAAATAATATAAATATTAATAGTGATTTTTATTTTAAAAAATTATTAACTAAATTTAAATTTAATTATTTAATTGTAATTAAAATAATTGTTTATATATATAATTTAAATGATTATTATAATATATATGAAAAAAGAAGAACAGATATTGTAACTTTATTTCCTACTAAATATATGACTACTAGTATTTATAAGCAAATTTCAGCTTGTGTTCTAATACCTATTATCTTTAACAATATATCATTCATAATCTAATAAACATTAACATAAGTAATATCTGCTTTAGACTAATATATAAATATTATTGATTATTTATATTAATTGTAAAAAATAATGGTTTAATAATAAATAATTAAATACTAATACTTTTGATTAGATTGAATTACTTATTATGTATTATTATAATAAAATAATTGCAGAAAAAAAGGAAGAACGCTTGATAAAAAAAGTATAATTAATAGAATTTTAAGAAAGAAATTTGCATTATATAAGTAATTATATAATAGAATTGAATATAATATTAAATATTAATAAAGATATTAGATATCTATATAATCGAGTTATACTATTAGTAGCAGATTGGCTTGAACAATTATTTGTTTGCAAAGTAATAACCAATTTGTATAAAAAAAATTCACAATATTCTATACCAGCTAAAATTAATTCATTCATTTCAATCTTAGACCTTCTTTATATTTCTCTAAATAGTAGGAAATATATATTAATTATATATTATATTATTTTTCAAAAACCTGTTTCATTTTGTATTTAGCAAAAAAAAAAATATTTGCAAAAAACTTAAGCTATAGAAAATAAATTTACTTTTTGATTTAGTATATAATAGATGATGTAAAATTAAAAATACAATAATAATGAAATTTGAATACATCTGTAAAAATATTGAATACTCTATAACTATTGATCTATTGGATAATATAATTCTAGTAACTTTAGATATATATTAAACTACTTTTTTGCAGAAGTTATAAAATTATTTTTGGTAAATTTTAATGATTACTATGTTAAAAATATGTATAGTAAAATACAATTTCATACATTCACAAATAGTAATATTAATAATATTATAAAATAAGCTTATATAATTGGTATTTTATTTTATTAATTATCTTCTACATTTATTTACAATATCACTAATCTTCACATTATTTTACTAGATACACAAAATCATTATAAACTTCAAAATACTTTTCAAAAACTAAAATATATTCTTATAAGCCATTAATATTAAACCTGCTAATAGAGAAAATATCATTATTTTTATTAGATTACTTTTAAAATATTTTCAAAATCATGAAAAAAACAAATCATGTAAATCAAAAAGAAAGATACTGTATCAATTAGCTACCTTAGAAGAAATTGTTAATTTAAAATGTCTTCTAACAAAATATAGTACCAGTATATTTCTGTCAATAGATTCTTGTAATTATTTTTGTTATAAATTTGATGATGATAAAGTGTTAATATGTGAGTATGGCTATCACTTTGAATATTATCAATTAATAGAATATGGCTATTATCATTGTGAGAAATATTATAAATACAGCATTTATAATAATGTAAACTCTTTTTTAAAATAATTAGAAAAGGACCAAATGTTTTTACTTTTAAAGAAAAAGATGAAGAAATTTTAGTAAAAGAAAATGATAAAAAAGGTAAAAATAAATAGAAACCAAAAAGTACATACAGAATTTTAGATGTATTTAATCACATTAATACTTGATAATATTATTCTGTAAATTATATAAAAAATAAATTTAATTATAATTATAAAAAAATTTTAATAAATTTACTGATATTTGAAAAATATTTGCTTATTCATTTTATAAAAAATAAAATCAATAAAATTTCTTATAGTTTTAAATTAAGTTCTTTATAAGAATATAGTTTAAAAATTTTAGTTTGAGCTTTACTGATAGTAATCTCAAAATTCAGCCTATTATAGGTAAAAAAAATGGTTTATATAAAACTTGTTGAAATATTAGATCTTATTAGATCTTATTAATTTAGATAAATAGAATAACTATGTTGCAAAATTTTATTATTAATTGTTTAGTCAGTTTAATAAAAAGCATTCTTATATAAAGATAAGAATATAACCCTTATTATAAATTAAGATATATAATAAGATTTTTAAATATATAAAATAAATTTAATATTTTTTTTTTTAATGTTTTTTAAGTTTTTTATTTATTATAAATTTCATTTTAAAAAATATGTTATTTTTTTTTTATTATATCTTTAATTTTATTAAATTAAATAAATTTTCAAATATTAAATTTACTGATATATTTTTATTAAAAATGAAAATGAAGTAAATTAAGAATATATGAATACTTTACAGTAAAAAAAGAAAAAACTACAAAAAAAATATTTTGTTATTTCATAAGCTAAATATTATTTTTTTAATAAAATAAATTTAAAATTAAGATTAATTCATAAAAATTATTTTTGGTAGCTTTTTCTCTTTCTACTGCAAAATATTCATATTATTAGACTTGAAAAAAATATTTTATATTACTAACAGCTTTATAGAAATTTATATAAATTTATTAGTTTATACTAAAATATAATTTATATATTATTAGGTTAATTTAATCAAATATTGAAAAATATGTTTATTTATTAATATTAAATTTTTAAAATAATAAATAATTTTACTAATAAAAATAATAAAATTTATAAAATAAAATAAATATTATAAGAAATATTTTAGTTATTTTATTTTAAAAATTGTGAGATTTCTAAGATAAATATTATATAAAATAAATCTAATTAATAAATTCATTAAATTTTAATTAAACATATATAGTTTATAATAAAATCTATACTTTTACCTTATATTAAGAATTTTTTTTAGTAATACTATCAAATTTTCACCTTTATATAATTTTGTATTAATATTATTGAATTTGACTAAAATTATTTATGTAATAATAAATATTATTTTTTTAACTAAAAAATTTTAAGTTCTTAAAATATAATAAAAAATAAAAAATAAGTGTATAATGTAAAATAATAAATTATATAAGTTTGAAAATTCCTTCAACAATATAAATTAAAATATATTACAATATTATAACAATTTATTATTAAGTGATTTTTTAATTTCTGCTAGCATTAATTTTTGCTAGTTAATAGATCATCAAATATTCTATTGAATACAATATTTTAAAATTTATACTTAGATTAAGATTATAAAACAAATATAATAACCTTCTTAATTTTTAATAACATATAATTTATCACTAAATCATATAAAGCTTTTAAATATGTTGAACTTTTCAAAACTTTATTATTTTATAAAAATAATTCGTCAGTTACTTTAACTCTTTGCATTCAATTGTTTAACATTCTGCGTAATTATATTACATTATTATTTATCAAATTTAAATTATACAATAGTTAACATTTCTTTGTTTTAGACTTTTTTAATTCTAGATTTATTATATTTGCAAATAAATTTGAGCTAATAGAAAGATTGTTGTAACTCTTGATTTTTATTTAGATAAGTTTTAAGGTCATATATATTAAATATCTCTGCTAATGAATCATTAAATATCAAATTCGATTTTTTATTAAGTCATATAAATGAGGATATTCATAGAGATTTAAGTTTTGATTTTGAGCATAGTGAGTAATAAATTTATCCTGAATGTCAAATCTGCTAAAGCATCAGATATGTATCTCTATTGAATACATTAATGCCAATACTCCAATGCAATGGAAGGACATAAGTGGAATGCATCTTTAATAATATAAAAAATGATAAGACGTGGTGTCCAAATAATAGGCCTTGTGCACTTGAAGATGACAAGCGACATGTAATATAAATGGGGGCGTGTCTTTCTATTAATAATCGTTCAGCTTTATTATGGAATGCGCCGAAGGACATTTATGGACTGCATCATTTAGCAATTTTAAACTTTCAAACTCGTGGTGTCCATTCTGCTCGAAATATAAAAACGAAAAACTATGTCGAGAATTAGTATCAAATATCTTGGACCACCATTTAAAATACGTCAAGGATTAGAGCTTGATATTCCATATTATGATTATGGTTTAGCCATCGAAGTCCAAGGAGAGCAACACGAAAAATTTAATAAGTTCTTTCATAAGGCGATCCCAATAAGTTTATCAAACAGCAGGAACGAGATCAACTCAAGAAAGAATTATGCGAAAAGAACCAGATTGCTCTAAGGTATGTTTGGTATTACGAAGACCCATAGATAGTTATTCCAGGGCATCTTCGAGAATTGGGTCTCATTGAATAAACTCGAAACTTTAAATGTGAATCGCTACATCTTTTGTGATCAAAATCATGAGACCGGAGACAATTTATTTAGGAGATAGAGGCGAGGCAAAAGCGCAATGCAAAAAAATGCCTCCTGAACAATTCACTTCGTTCATGATAAGTGTTAGTAAACAAGAAAAAATGTGATGATTATGGCTCTGTTGAATTCTATAACATGCCGAAACAAACTCGTGGCAAGTGACTCGGATAATTCTCCTATCGTCACAAAATTATATCAACTTTGAAAGAACGTTTGCTATGCTATATATTCGGGCTCATATTAACACGTAGTTACAAGACACATTCAGAGATAAAAATAATTATATCCTCAGCGTTAAAACAATATCATTAAGCTCGGTGGGAGATTCGGTTGTTACGTCATCTTCTGGTTCATAAGAAGCTCCATTCTCTATTTGTTCCCACTTCAGCCTTTTATTTCTACGCTTTCTGGCTTCCCGGGATAACCTCTTCATTGTTGGTACTTCTGACGTGATGTCTTACCAGTAGAAACGTTTATGATTTGCTTCGAACAATGGGATAAGAAAAAAAAATAAATTCAATTTTACAGGAATGTTTCCAGTATGTAACAACTATTTTGCTCGCAGTAAAAAAAAAATTTAGATCGTATTACAAAGTTCTAGTAAATCACTAATAGAAAAACTTTATTTTTTCGGCGACCTGATAATTACGGCAACCAATTTAGTCAGCGGAGTAATTTTTTGCTTAGGAGGTTTTTTTTTTTTTAACGAGAATCTACTAAAATTAATGCTATTGCTTTCACTAATATTATAATAAATTAAATGCTAGTATGCTACACTTTACAGAATTAACAGCTAATTTTTTCCCATATTAACTTTCTCGAACCCACTGCCATCACGACAAATGCCGAAGTGATAAACTCGAAATTATTTTGATGGTCATCTTTTTTTAAATTGCGAACGTAGTTGAGGAGTTGTTCACGGGCCCCATTGAAAATTTCTCTCATGGTTTTGCCATGATTAAATTTCTCCAAATTGTCACACTTCAATTGGAGTACATCTCTTCTTGACATTGCCTCAACTTTGTATGCTTTTCGCTCCATCACTTCCCAGCTAGAATTATTACCTGATTCGGAAATAAAATTCAAAATAATAGTAAGCATAAAGGAGCTTACGAAAGATAGTACCGAGAATGTGAAAACATACCTTTGATTTGCAGGTCCAAGAAGTTGACCCCTTTGTTCTTGAACTCGAAAATGAAGCGATTCCGCTTTGAATTTTCGGTAGATTTGATCTCAACTATCAAGAGGTCAGCATAAAGGAAGCTGTTGTTTCTCTTTACTTCATAAACATTAATGGGAACCTCCGTATCAACAAAGTGGTTTGGAATGTCTAGAAGCAAAACATGAAATATCACTTTGATGACCAACTCTCTGTCGTCATAAAGATTTCCCTTCTTGATAAGTTCTTTTAATTTTGGCTCGACGTAAAGGCATAATTTATCGATATTATGGTCATGGAGGAGACTGTTGATACAGTTTCTCAGAGTGGGTTCTGGTGGCGAAACAATGATATGAACATGTTCTTCTGCTGGTGCGGCAGAAAAGTATTTCGAAATCTTTCTTGTTGGGAGGAGTTCATCATTGTTTTGTAGTGAAAGGTTTCTCAACTGATCATCTTGATCGTCGGGAATTTCTACTTTCCAAATTTTGAGTTTGTCTGCGGGAAAATCATCAAACTCCGGTGTCTTTTTCACCTTAATAGCGTCCTTGAAATGACTAACCAACTTTCCACTATCAATATCGACAGCGAAAGCATT